GGAGAAGAAAATGAGTATGGAGGAATATGGAAGGAGGAGTTGAAGAAGAAGTTTAATAAAAACTAAAACTAACGCTACTGTGTTTGTGGAGCGTTTTGATAAAGCATATAAAGCAAGTAGCGACGTGAAAATCACGCTGCAACGTTGCCACGTGATTTTCACATCGCAACAATCAAACAACTGTTTTCCCTTTCTTCAAAACCTGAACACGTCAGTGTTGGAAGTTGTGATTAATTTATTTTTTATGATTTTTTAATTAGCGACGTGAAGCTCACGTCGCAACTTTTTTTAAAACAAAAAAAAATGACACACTTAATGCTTTTTTATTATATTAGTAAAACATGTTGCCACGTGATTTTCACGTCGCAACTGGCTTTATTTAGCCACGTGAAAATCACGTGGCAAAATCACGTGGCTGGATAAGCATTTTCTTGTAGTGACATATGGACATTTGTAGTTAGGCGTACATTTACCGCGTGAATCTAGACGAAGTAGCATAATCTTCTTGAGAACTATATCTCATTCTTTGAACACTCGAGGACCAATCTTTTTATCGAATGCCTTCTTCATCCGTTTTTGATACAACTGGCCGTTGCACAAAATTGTTAAACGTTTTTCTTCAATGAGGTTGAGTTGATAAAGTCATGTTTGAACCCATTCTGATTCTTCAAGCTTAGTTTCTATTAGGACTCGTAGTGATTGGATCATGTACATCATATTGTAGTTCCGCGATAATTACACATCCTAAACTTGTAGAAGTAGACCACAACGGTCCCTCACAATCAAGCTCAATGATAGAATCATGTACATCATATTGTAGCTCCATGATATTTCAGTTCTACAATCAAAATATATCAAAATCATATATTAAAACACGTCGACCTTCTATAAACATCATTATTAATTTCTAACACTATATTTTTGTTTTCTTTTTCAATTCAGAGAATCCACAATAGATTGCTCGTAATTTCACATTACAACCCTAAAAATGCCCTGAATTCTTACAACTTAACTAAACTGATGATATTTTTAAAAATTAAAGTCATGTTATGATTGTCCTCAAAAAATTTAAATATTTTCCTTGAGCTTAATACCTCATATATTACTTACTTCCAGCCAATAATTTAGGTATGCCGTTTCAATAAGATGAACTAAAAATCGATCAATTTATAAGTCTGTTTAACTAATATTGGTTCTTAGTATATTAAAATTGAATTAATTAACCAGATTGAACTAGAGATGATTCAACACCCAATTCCTCAATTTTCAAAAAAAAAATATTTATTTATTTATTTATTATCTATTTAATGGTAGTTCGTGGATAACTTTAACAATTGGATCTGGTGTCAATTTTAATAATATAGCTTTCAACTTTATAGTTTTAACAAGTACACACTAGTATAAGAGTAATTGTCAACAACAAAAATAGTACTACTACTATGACACTAGTTACTATCAAAGTTCTGACATGAATATTCACGAGTAACTGATGAGCACAACCTTTTCACACTCGTTTTCATAGTGTCAGTATGTTCTTTTACTAGCTGTGAAAAAACTGAAACAATATAGATTAACAACAAAAAGTTCCAATGAGTTTTCGTGAAAGAATCCAAATGGATGTATAAATGAAATAAATTGACATTGATCTCAATGAAAATGACAGCTTGTAAGTATAAAAATACCATAATATATATAAATAGTATATTAAATAACACCTACTATTGTTTTGCTTTCTTGATAGATAGATATATATATATATATATATATATATATAAATAATACCCTATAGCTACATGAAGAATAATGTCCCTCAGTTTCAAAATTTTAGTCCTATTAACATCACATACCTAAAATTTGTCACTGCTCATTCTTACACAATAATAGTTACTGATTGTGATTGAAAACTTATTTTGACAAAGTAGAAAAATTGACATATGAAATTCTCAATTTTTAATAGGTGTCTTTCCATGCAAATCATGAGATTACCTCAAACAACCTTCAAAGGGTTTATTATTAATTATAAATTAATTAATTACATATATGAGTTAAGTAAGTTATCCTTTGGGTGTGGTCAAAAATTAATTGAAGAGATAAGATTTTGAAATTAAGGGTGTTTTAGGATAAGAAAACAAGGGAGGGAGAATAATTAAGTGGAAATATCAATAATTTAAACAAATTGATGACCCACAAATTTTTAATTTTATTGATCATTATGCTTTGCTGATGTCTGCAAAGTATAGTTGTGATGCATGAGAGCCAAAATGGGACCATTTATTAAGGGGTCATGAGTCATGATTCATATACACATCATACATGCACTTGATTGGGACCCTTTGCTTTTGTCAAAACCCTCTTTTTCTTTTCTCTTTTTCAAATTATACTTTTTACCTATTTAAATTATATGGTGAATAGTGAATAATTATTACTATGAAAGTCATAAATAGGAGGAATTATAAAAATATTTAGAAATTGTATTTTTTAGATTAATATATTAATATAAATAAATATTATCTTTAGAATTAAATTCTAGACCAATATGTGTTGAGTTTTAAAAAATTGTATCGATAGTAAAAAAATATTGAGTATATTTAAATGAAAAGTAAATAAAACTCAATTTTTTTTCTATTTTATTATTATTATTATTATTATTATTATTATTATTATTATTATTATTATTATTATTATTATTATTATTATTATACTGAACTTAGAATCGATAAATTTAAGAGGAATAATGTTGTCATTTATTACTTCATCTGTTTTAAATGACAGTTGTTTGGAGAATGTTTGGTTCGAAGTAAATGGAAGGAAGAGAAAGACAATGGAGATGATATTTATAATGAAATGTGTTTGATTCAATTTTTAAGAGGGAAGGGGAGCAAAATTCCTCTAAATCGTACTTTTTACGTCCCCCAAATCAGGGAGATTCGAAGGGGAGGGGAGAGAAGGTGAGTATAAATTTTTAATAAATTAATATATTTACTAAAATATTCTCTATTTTATTTTATTATTTCAAAATTAGTTTTTTCGTATTCTTGCTTATTCTTTGTGATTTTTCTCTATTGTTTTCATCAATTTATTATAATTATTCTTCACCTTTAATTTTTTTATTTTTAGATAATATAAATTATAATCAGTATATTTTTTTTTAATTATTTTTATTTTTTATGGTTATTTGTGTTAGTTTTTTTTTTTTAATTTTGTTATGTATTCTATTATATTTTCTTTATAAAATTTTAAACTACTCTTTTTTTTTTTTAATATGTATTAAATATTTAATAATAAATTATCTCATGTATTCAAAAGTTGTTATCAACACATAGCTTATTTTGTACCGAGACTTATAATACGAATCAAGTATATTCAATTTTTTAACGTTATGTGATAAATTATGACTTTTAATCACTCAATATTATAAATATTATTTTGAAAAAAATATTTATGAAATTTTCACCTATAAATATCATATCACTTATATAAAATTTTAAGGATAAAAATATAAATTATTAGTAAAATCTCTCATCTCCCATCGTGAACCAAACATATTTTTAATCAAAATCTCTCACCTCCTCTCTTTTTTTTTTCTTTTGAACCAAACATATATATAATTTTAAAAAAATCCTCCACTCCCCTCCCCTTTCCTCTCCTCCATTAAAATTTCTCCCCTCATTTGAATCAAACAGACCCTTAAGATTTTTTACACTAATTAAAAAATACAATGATGTTGTCATAAAATATTTTACTTTTACTAAATTAATCATATTAATGTGTTGGAAGAAGTGTAAAAAATAATAACTAAAGGGTATAATTGAAAAAATAACAATAATTTATACATTGAAAAGTGAGAATGACAATCATTTTAAAATAAACTTTATTTGCTAAAATGACAGTCATTATAAAATGAATGAAGTAGTAAATACTCATTTAAAGTCAGAATAAAATTCTATATGGCCTGATCTGACCCAACACAATGATTGATTGCATCTAACGAAATTTAAATTTGAAATTTTTAGAGGAGTATAGTCTCTTTTGAAATTCAAATCTTCACCAACAGATCAACTCCCGATAATTTTATGTTTTCATTATTATATGCTCGCAATCTTTTTATTTTTTAAAAATATTATTTTATTTTTAAAATTAAAAATAATAATATGATATATTTTAAATTATGCGGCATATATAAAAAAAATCATCTAAATTTTTTAGATTCAACTTATAAATATATTTTTTTTTTGTATAATTGATTAATTTAAAAATTTAAGGAAATAAGAGATAATGATTAGAATGAAATAAGTATTAATGGAAAAATATGAAAGAAAGAAATGTGAAGGAAATAAAATTTGAGCTATGAAAGCATTAAAGTTGGTATTTTGGTGGTTGGTTCTGTATTCCTTAGCAATTTAATTGCTTTATCTTCAAACTGTGGCATCCAACCACAAAAAATTCCCAAATAAGTTAATAAGAAAAAATAAATATTAAAAATAAGAAAACGACAAAGAGATATTTAATGGAGAATTGAGCAATAAGATCCCTCCACCCGTTTTCTTGTCCATCATCATCCTCCTTTTTAATATTTTCTCTCTTTTTTAATTTCTCATTTAACAAAAAGTTAAATAATTTAATTATTTTATTAAGCATTGTAGAAGGAGACGTTTCCTCGTTTTTCATCTGTTTGTATCTTCTGACACACCTTGGTTGCTTTTTCATTATATACATTTCTCACTTCACAAAGAAAAAACCTCTCTCTCTCACACTCTTTTTCCTTCAAAAGTTCTCTCTATTACTCATCAAAGGTTTTTTTTCTTTGCTTTTCTTTGTTTATTTATGCTTATCTTGCATCAAATGATTTGAAAAGAACAAGGTCAAATCAATATAACTAGTTTTAAATTTGATCTATTCACACACTCAAACAAGGTGAATAAAGATGTGTATCTTTTTCACAACTCTTTCCTTTTTCAGTTTATGCTGAAATTTCATAGATTTGTGGCTGACAAATAGGTTTATATTATAGTTAGATAAATTTCATATTCATGTTCATGTTGTTCACATGTGGTTTTTGATTTGATATGTTTTGATTCTCTTTCAATTTGGTGGTTGAGACTTGAGACTATACTACTACTGTGCATGCGTGTGCTTTGTCTATGTTTTTCTCTCTTCTTCTCATGTTTGTTTGTCCAAAATCTGTTCCTCATAGGTTCATTTTGGGTTATTCTTATTCATAATTCTTCTTTTCTTTCCAGTTTTTTTCAACAACATCAACCACGTGTGTTCTTCAATATCATTCACACCAGGTATGTAACATACTTAATATACTATATACCTATATAGATATTAAATATAAAATCAATTACTTCATACCATGCAAAAATTAGAAACAACACTAACTATGTCATTTCAACCTTGATTTCGCAGATTCATCACTTCATGTTATTTCAAAATTATTAATCAACATCAACTCCATGGGTTGATCTACAAAGGTACTATGTGTGTGAGTGTTGTAAACTCCGAAATTATGAAGCAAAAGTTGAATACAATTGCATGTGTTTCTGAAGTACTTTTTTTTTTTTTTTTTTAATGTTGTGTTGTAACATGTGGTTGTGTTGTGTTGGATGTGAAGTTGAAAGGTTGTTATTGTAACTAATAACGTACTTCTTTTTTTGTTTCAGTGAAGTAATAAAGTAACATCAATATATTTATACTAAAAAAAAAGCAATGGCAACGTACTTTCATGGTAATTCTGAGATTCAATCGAGTGGCGGCGGCGGCGGTGCTGACGGATTACAAACACTTGTTCTCATGAATCCAGGCTATATTCAATACTCAGACGCCACACAGCAACAACAACAACAGCCTCAGCCGCCATCTCACGCCGCATCGGGTAACTATGTTTTTCTCAACTCGACGGCAGCTGAAAACAACTCCTTCTCATCTCACGCGCCACCTTCCAATACACAACAATTTGTCGGCATCCCACTCAACCACCAGCATCAGCATCATCATCAGCACCAACATCAAATCCACGGCCACCATGAAGTTGTCCCTTCGTTGCATGGCTTCCTTCCTCACATGCAGTACAACCAGTGGAACACAATTGACCCTTCCACGGCGGCGCGTGAAACTCCACGCGCTCAGCAAGGACTTTCTCTAAGCCTATCTTCGCAGCCGGCACGGTTTATGTCTTTTCGAGAAGGTCAGGCGGGTGGTATATCCGGTGGCGGATCGCCGTCTCCGGCTTCTGGGATTACTAATAACGGGAATTCCGGGATTCAGGTGCTGAGTTCGAAGTATTTGAGGGCGGCGCATGAGCTTTTAGAAGAGGTTGTGAATGTGAATAGTGGTGTTGAATTGGGAAAGAAGAACAAGATGAATATCGGAGAATCATCGGGAGTTGGTAGTGGAGGAGATGGTTCAATTATCGTCGGCGGCGAGGGAAGTGGTGGGAAGCGTAGCTCTGAGCTATCAACGGCGGAGAAACAAGAAATACAGATGAAGAAAGCTAAGCTAATTACAATGCTTGATGAGGTATTAATTTATTTCTTCATTACACTAATTAAGTGATTAATTAATTTTAACTATATATTTTAAACGACTTAGTTAACTAATTAATTAAAACTAAGACAATTTTTTCTATATGGAGTAAGAATTGTGACAAGTATAATTTCTCTCCTTAAATATTAGAGTTGTTGAGAAACTTCAAATAGTGTGACTGATTTAAATCATATAATATCTTACTTATTTATCGATTTATCATGCAACGAATGATTATCAAGTACTACTAATATTATATCTAACTCACTTTTCTATCATTGGAGAATTTAAGTGGCTTCACTAGCACAGCATTTATTTTTAAAATTTTTAACTTAAATTTGCAATAAGGCTAGCTACTTGTCCAATTAAACACCTCCAAAAAAATAGTAAATGATCTCTAATAATCCTAGATGCTAAACTACACTTGAAATAGTACTATAGCAATAAAGAGATGAATGAAAATGAAATTTTGTATCAATGAAAGGTTCTCAAACATAGTGATGAATTTTAGTCAATATATAGTTGGTGGTGGTGCAAGCATTGTTCTTTACAATGGTTATTTATCATCATCATTCAACCTTGAAGAATATATAATCAGTCAGATATTTGTATCAAATATTAAATATTTTACTCTGCAATACAATGCCATGCGAGTAATTGCAACTGCAATTACAATTTAAAATCATATAATTATCAATTTGTTGGCTGAAGGTGGAGCAAAGATACAGACAGTACCACCATCAAATGGAGGTAGTGGTTTCATCCTTCGAACAAGCAGCCGGAGTTGGTTCCGCCCGAGCCTACACTGCTCTCGCACTGCAAACAATCTCGAAGCAATTTCGGTGTTTGAAAGATGCAATAACAGGACAACTTAGAGCCATAAATAAGAGTTTAGGAGAAGAGGATTGTTTTGGTGGTAAAATAGAAGGTTCAAGGCTGAAATATGTTGATCATCAATTGCGTCAACAACGCGCTTTACAACAGCTGGGAATGATCCAGCATAATGCTTGGAGACCCCAAAGAGGATTGCCCGAAAGATCTGTTTCTGTTCTTCGTGCTTGGCTCTTCGAGCATTTCCTTCACCCGTAAGCAAACTTTTCTTATACTAACTCTTATTACTTCAAAAACTCTGCTTATATTGCTAAAAGTAGTGTTATTTTTACTTAGTCTCAAGTTTTTTTTAGTCTTGGCCGAAATTTTACCATAAAAAAAAATAGAGATTTTATTTAACCGGGGATAATGTTTTCTGAGATTTTATTTAATTACAGTTTTATTGTGATAAATTTTGGTCATATGTGCAATAACCCGACTTCAAAAATGACCCTATTTAAAAGACAACACAATAGAATATGGGTGAGCTAAGCTAAGTAACAGGCCAAGTCTTTGATCAGGCCGACTCAAAATTAACATGGACGGGTTATTCAAATTAGAGAACGAAGGACAATGCATTTATGAGCAAATTAGGGGACAATATGAGCGAATTATGGACATTATTGTCAGACGCCATTACGATCCATGAAAAGGAGGCAATCCTCTTAAATGGTCTATATCGGTCTTAAATATGGAGCAGACCAAGACCACTATTTAAATGATGCAATCATAGAGGAAAAGACAGACACTTTTTACGATACTACTTATATCTTTGAAAAGATATTTGCGACTTTGTCTGGCTCAACACTAGTAGAGTTATCAATCAGTGTACTTAGCGTGCATAAACCATAATTTTAAAAATTGTGATTAATTATATTTAATGAATAGCTAATAAGTTGCAGCATCCATCTTATATTTGTTAATCATCCATTAAACATAATTAATGCTGATAATCTGAAATTTGTTTCAGTTATCCTAAGGACTCAGACAAACACATGCTTGCAAAACAAACAGGACTTACTAGGAGTCAGGTAACCAATACTAGTTCTAAATATGAACAATTTGTTTCTACTTATTTTTGACATATTCAAAGTGTTACTAAAATTTGATTTGAATTGTAACAGGTTTCTAATTGGTTTATAAATGCTCGAGTTCGACTTTGGAAGCCAATGGTGGAAGAAATGTACTTGGAAGAAATGAAGGAGAATGAACTGAATGCATCAGATGATAAATCAAGCAAAAGCAATGAAGATTCTTCAATGAAAATAACACCCTCTCAAGAGAAAGCTCTTACCTCTGAAACAGACCCTAAAGGTTACAATTCCACACAAGACATTTCGAAAAACCAAGAAACTCAAATCATTTCTGTTTCTAGACCACAAACATCACCACTTGTTGAAAATGTTAGAAACAATTCAGGTTTCAGTTTCATAGGATCGTCGGAATTAGAAGGTATACCTCAAACAAGTCCTAAGAAACCAAGGAACCATGAACTCATGCATACTCCAAATAGTTTCATTGATGTTAAACACAATGAGGCAAGTAACGAGCTGAAATTCGGTGATGAGAGACAGAGTCGAGATGGTTACTCTTTCATGGGAAACCAAACAAACTTCATGGGTGGATTTGGACAGTACCCGATGGGCGATATTGGTAGGTTTGATTCAGAACAATTCGCGCCAAGGTTTTCAAGTAACGGTGTTTCACTCACTCTTGGTCTTGATTCAATACAAGGGAATCATCAATCATTTTTACCAAACCAAAACATTCAACTAGGAAGAAACATTGATATAAGCGACACGAATGAGTTTGGTTCCATAAACACTTCTTCTCCTCAATATGAGAGTATCAACATGCAAAATCCGAAAAGGTTTGCTGCACAATTGTTGCCTGATTTTGTGGCATAAATAAGACATTCAAAGGGTGAGCAATGTGGTTGCTGAAATTTCTTTCTTCTATTTGAAAATTGGTAGTGTAAAGAGAAAGAAAGGATTTTACTTTAGTATAGGTTTATACTCTGCATAGAACCATTTGAATTCTTAGATATATAGCTTAGGATTTGATGGTATATGGTTGAGGTTGTATATTATTTTTGTAAGTTCTATAGGTGGGATGAGATAGATGGGTTGGTGCATAAATTTTAATTTGGTATACATACGTACCAATATATATTTGATTGGGAATATATTGTTTTGATATTGTGCAAAATCTTCTGTTGAATAAACAAGAACCAAATTGCCATTTGCATTTTTAAGAATTGTGAGTATAAGGTTGTAGCTGATTTGTGGGGCTACAATTATTGAAATACATATATATTTGAAGATTATACAAAAAAAAAAAATTGTCAATCTATATAGAATTTTGCTCTGTCTTCAATCTAATCTCCGCTATTGAACGGTAGGATTAGTCCTCTGGATTAGTTGGTCCTTAGACTACATATCTTGAATACTCTCGATGCATGTTGTGGGACGAAAGAAACTCGATCGATAGCAATCAAATTACGACTTATAAATGAATGAGTAACACACTATCTCATACCTACATACAGTTCTTAATGTTATTGTATCAGAAACTCCTTATCAGTAGCAATTTGTAACAAAGTTCCAAAAATGTCTCAGGTCAGGCCAGCTATATAAATTCTCTTGCTCTTGTAGGTTACATTGTGACACAAATTTTAACTCCAAACTTCATGCCTATTCCAAAAGGTTGCATCACTATCTCACACAAACAAATATCAGCTTCTAGTTTATCTTTTACCTTCATAGGATGCGCTCCTTAGGACCATGGAAAATGTTCTTTGATAAATAGTTTCACGTTTCCTGTCAAAAGTAAAGATCAAATTGTCTATTTTATACAATAAACAAACACCATAGAACATGATACTGTTTATTATGTTGTGTTGGTCGCTGGTCGGTCGGTAAACCATGCAACACTTACTGACTCGAGTTGCGTCTCCATGAAATTCAAACAGATAAAGCAAAATCATTCATGGTATTATTCGGATATGCACTATTTCAAAAATGCATTCTCTACATTTCACAGTTAGAACTACAATGTTTTACATATTCTGCAAAGGAATTTACATCGATTTAATGTGAATGGAGATGGAGATATTTTCAATCTATATGCCTCCTACAAAAATATTCCATTCACACAAAAAGAAAAAGAAAAAGATGTTCTCTTCTGAATGCCTTGACTAGGTAGGAATTTTAGATTAGTACTCTAAACTTGAGGAACAGAATTCGGGAACTCGTCAAACTGAGTTTGTCATGACCTGATCATCCTCTAGCACCGATAGTCTTCTCCTAGCAACCTTGGACCTATAACACCATACTTCGAATGCTTCGGTCAGGTCTGGATACCGCATATGCTCATTTTCCAACCATTCAGTTAAAAGCACTGCCTGATCCCCTGATGGCAATGCAAGAACAACAGAGACAAAACTTGATTCCAGAGTTTGCCACATTTCGCTATCCATTTTAGGCAACACGGCATTCTCAGAATTCATCATGGCAGAATCAATCATCGGTTTTGTAACCCTCACAAACGGAAGCCACTGTTTCAAAACCTGAAGACGCTTTGCAGTTGGCAGTATAACAGTACCATAAGCAATTGCCTCTAAAACTTTTGAAGTTATCTCAACGGCTCGCAGCTTTATCTCAATGATGTCAGTTGCAGAACTTTCTTGTTCGAGTACTTTGACAATCTTTTCCGATGCATCAAACCAACACTCAACAAAATCTCTCATTATTTCCAACTTACTCAATATCTGACAAACCCATGACAAATCATTCAAATAGGATCGAAACAACGAGACATTCCCTGCTTCAGAATGCGATTCTGTCGAACCACGGAACAAATGTATCAATGAGTTGTTAAACCCGGAAAATAGTCTTTTCACACATTCTTTTACCTCAAGTTTTATCTTGTCATCAGCGATCAACAAAGGGACATCATCATCCTCACTTAGCATGTAATCAAGTTGCTCTTGCGCTGAAGATTTCAGATCATTCATTGCCAGTGGAGGGGACGACGTAACAAACCGTAACGCCGAAAGAAACACATTCCTAACAGCTATCTCATCAACCGGTTGAAGTCTAGCTAGGATCGGCTCTGCTTGCAATCCCATCCTCGGTACAATCTTCAATATCTCCTCCTCTTCACTCTCTTCCCACGTCATTGCTTCCAAGTAACTCACACACGCAGCAACAATTTTCGGGCAATCAAGCTCAACCGCCACTTGCAAAATCCCAAGATTATTTCTCACACCATGCCACAAATCATCAACCAAACCATCATCATCGACAATGTACAGAAATCTAATCACATTTACATAGTAATCAAAATCCGATTCTTGGCAATTAACATCAACACAATTACGCGAACCTAGTATCTGACAAGTCGGCCAATTCTCAGACAGCCTGTCAGCAAAATACTTGCAACTCTTAACAAGAATCACCGAGTGACAGTACATCCATTCTTCTCGACCTTCTTGCGTCCGTAGCCTCACCACAACATCGCTAGTCGATCGGTCGTCAATTACAAACACAACCTTCTCTTCTTTATCCTTAATTAAAGAAAATAACAACCCAATTACTAACTACAAATAAGATAAGAATCTTGAACCATAAATTTAGGAAGAAAGTTATAAATAAAGTCCTACAGTATCAATGTTGATAGTTGAAAACATGGTTTATGGCTACACTTGAATTCAAAAGTTACATTTGAATAACACTGAAATTGAAAAAGAATTGACATGATTGAAGAAAAGTGGAAAAGAAAACTTACAGTAGGTTCCATTGAAATGGACTATGAAGCAAGTTTAATTGAAGATTTCATAGTAGCTGAAATTATAGAAAAAACAAGGATTAGAGTAATGAAAGATAGAACAATTGGATCATGAAGATTGAAATGGAGTTAAACCTAAGATGATTAGATGAAATCAGCAGGGGCAGTTGGGAACGATGACGGAGAGAGAGAGATCTTGGGAGGTTCTTGGCTTGCTTGCTCTGTCGCTTGCGTACTTCTGGCTCTTTACTATCCTTGTTGTAACTTGTAACCCATTTGCTACTTTATTTTTGTGTATTGTTGTTGCTAGTAGTAGTATTTGGCAACTTGCCTTAGATAATCTTATATAAACCTAAATAATCTAAAATTCTATTATAATCTATACTTATCCTAAAAAATCTTCTTTTTGGATTGGCTATAGACAAATTGATTTTAGTAGAAGTGAATTTGGTAGAGTTGATTTTAATAAAATTGAATTTATCTGAATTTGATTTATATTTAGATATATTTTTTGTGGTTTAGTCAATTAATTTTGATCCATATAATTAACCGATCAATAAAGACAATTTACTGGCCAAAGTCTTATTTCCACAAGAATCAAATTACTAGTCGTCCTTAATGAAAACTCATTTTCCACTAGAGTCTAAATACTTGGTTATGTTTGGATAATTTATATAAAGTGAGTTGAACAATAAATTTCAGTGTAAAAATCATTCAGAATCAATTTTGACGGCTCAAGCTACAAATAATAGCTTCGAGTAGAATCAATTTTGGAGGCATAACTGATTCTACTTTTGAAATATCAAACACTTTAAAAACATCCAGAATCAATTCTACATCTCTAGAATTGATTATGTGTCTTGTAGAAGTTGAACCAAACACACGCTTAATGTATGTTTGGTTTCACTTTTGGAAAATACAAAATCAATTTTAGAGATATAGAATTGATTCCGAGTGATTTTGAGATGTTTAGTTTTTTAAAAGTAGAATTGATTCTGCCTCTAAAATTGATTTTACTTGAAGTTAGAATTTGTAACTTTTGTTTTAAAATTTATTCTGAGTAATTTTTATATTTAAATTTATTATTCAACTTACTCTTACATAAATATACTTATACATAAATCAATTCTATTAAACTCATTTTTATTAAAATCAATTTTATCCAATTCAATTCTATTATAATTAATTATATCTATCGTGAATCCTAACAACCCCTTATATCCGTGCACATACTTATACTTTGATACTTCTTTATTAGATATGTATAGAATGAGTTATTTGAATTTTTTTATTGAAAAATATTTCAATATAGCAATTGGCCTATAGAGAATATATCCTTAGTTAATTATGTTTGATTTAAATTTTAAGACAAAAGAATAGTGGAGGAGACGGAAACAAAACTACTCCAAAACTTTTTTTTTGAATTTTTTCATTTATTTTTTAGCTCTAATAATTTAGAACATGGACCAAATTTTCTCCTTTTGAATTATTCTTCTCTCAACTTTAATTACATAATGCTTAATCATTTTTCCATAATAAAAATTATATTTTTCCTCCTTAATCATTCATCTCTCAACTTTAACTACGTATTCTCTCTTCTATGTAATTTTACAATTGATTTGATTATTTTAAAATTTAATATTTATCACTAATAAGGTTATCAAATTTTTAAAGATTATTTTTCCTTTACCAATTATCAAATTTTACAAATTCATTTGATTATGTTGGACAGGAATTTTGTAAGTGCGTGAGGCACTTTTAGTGAGGAGAGAAAGAGAGAATGATAAAAGAAATAAGGATTTGTATTATTCAAGTGTACAAATAATGATACACACTATGACTATTTATATACAATCCTACTCGGGTTTGGGCTAACACAATTTGAATTATATTAAATATTAATTCTAATCAAATCTAATCTAATCTAATTTAATATTTCAACACACCCCCATAATCTAAGTTGTCGAACATCCTCAAAAATAGTTAATCTGAACTATTCCTAATTTCTTTCACAAATTCAGGAATTTGTCAATCTTCAATCCTTTGGTGAAAATATCGGTCAACTGTGCTTCACTTGAGCAATGCCTAACTTCAAGTTCACCTTGATTTACTTTTTCCCTCAAGAAGTGAAACTTTGCTTCAATATGTTTACTTCTTCCATGCATAACTGGATTCTTCGCCAGATTTATGGCTGACTTGTTGTCGATTTGCAATACTAGAGGTTTCTTCACTTCGATAATCATTTCTTCAAGTACAGATTTGATCTAAATTGCTTGACATGCAGCATACGATCCTGCTATATATTCAGCTTCACACTATGACAATGCCACCACAGGTTGCTTCTTTGAACACCATGAGATTGGGGCACCAAATACTTGAAATAAATATCCAGTTGTGCTTCTTCGATCTTCCTTATCTCCACACTAATCAGCATCTGAAAAACAATTAACTATTGCTTCGTTGCCTTCAGAATCTCGTCGAAATAGTATTCCACAATTTATTGAACCCTTCAAATATCGAAGGATTCTTCTTGCAGCCTTCATATGTGACACTCTTGGTTCACCCATATATCTTCTTACTAATCCGACTGCGAAACCTATATCAGGTCGACTGTTGCACACATACCTCAGAGATCCCACAATTTGCTTGAACAAAGTTGCATCGACTTTGTCTTCCTCTCCATTCTTCTCCAACTTCACATTTGGTTCGACATGTGAGGATGTAGGATTCGAATCATCCATTATGAATCTCTTGAGTATCTCTTTGACATACTTTCTTTGATGTAGCACCATACCTTGCTTCGACATTTGAAATTCCATGCCTAGAAAATAAGACAATTTTCCTAGATTCGACATTTCAAATTCCTTTGTCATCAGCTCTTTGAACTTCGAAAAGTTCTCCAAACTATTTCCAATTACTAGCAACTCATCAACATACAAGCAGATGATTGTTATATCTTGTGCTACAACCTGAACATAGACACCATACTCTGATTTGCGTTTGATAAATCCTATTTCGACTAAGTATGAGCTGATCTTCTTGTTCCATGCCCTAGGTGTCTGCTTGAGGCCATATAGCGCTTTGTGAAATCTATATACTTTACTCGCTTCCTTTCGAATCACAAACCCATGAGGTTGTGTAACATAAACTTCTTCGTCTAAAGGACCATTCAGAAATGTTGATTTGACATCTAGATGAAATGTTGACCAGCCTTGGTTGCATGCCAATGCTACTACTAGTCGAACAGTCTCTAATCTTGCTACTGGAGAAAATACTTCAGAGTAGTCAAGTCCTGCTCTTTGAAGAAAACCTCGAGGTACTAATCTTGCTTTATGTCTTTCTATTGACCCATATGCATTGTGTTTAAACTTGAACACCCACTTTACTTTGATAGCTTTTGTATGTGTTGGCAATTCGACTAACTCCCGTGTGTTGTTTCTTTTGATTGCATGTAACTCTTCGACCATAGATAACTTCCACTTGTTAATCTTCAAAGCTTCGTTATAGTTGATTGGTTTAGCACCTATAAGTAAAGCAAAATGAACTAATTCTCCATCTGGTGTGATTTCATCATCACCCGCCACTTCATAATCATAAAGTCTTAATGGAAGAACTCTATTTCTTTGAGGTCTTTGGCTTGTTTCAGCCACAACTTCTTTGACTTCGACTGTGACGGGAGTGTCAACAACCGCTTCTTCTTCGACTTCGACTGGATTCTCAACAATTCCTTCGAACTCTACTTCATTAGTTTCTTTGTCGAAATCAAAGTTCATTAATGATTTGTTAATTGAATTGCTAGAATTCCAATCCCAGACAAAATTTTTATTAATCACAATATCTCGACTCAACACAATCTTCTCATTAATTGGATTGAATAGTCTGTATACACCAGTTTTACGATATTCTACCAGAATCATAGGTTCACTCTTGTCATCAAGCTTTCTTCTCCTTGCATCAGGAACATGCTTGTAACACGTAGAGCCAAATAACTTCAAGTGACTTACTAATGGTCGTTTTCCACTCCACACTTCTTCAGGAACCTTGTTCTTCAATATCTTAGTAGGACGCCTATTCAAAATATAAACTGCAGTCGAAACAACTTCTCCCTATAAAGATTTTGGAAAATTCTTTTGCTTCAGCATGCATCTCGCCATATCTAATATGGTTCTATTTCTTCTTACAATAATTCCGTTATGTTGAGGTGTGTAAGGAGCAGTTACATCATAATCAGCACCATGTTCTGCACAGAAATCTTCAAACATCTTGGATGTGTATTCGCCACCTCCATCTGTTCGCAGAACTTTGATCTTCTTCTCACTCTGGTTTTTGACAAGTATCTTGAATCTCTTAAAGATTCCTAATACTTCGTCCTTTCGTTTGATCACATAGATCCACAACTTTCGACTAAGCTCATCGATAAATGAAACAAAATATCTGTTTCCACCAATTGTATGTTCTTCGAATGGATCACATACATCTGAATGCACCAATTCGAGAATGCAGGATGATCTCATTGACATAGTCGAAACAAAAGAATTTCTGGATTGCTTTCCCACTAAACAACCTTCACAAAGTTTTTCAGGCATCTCAAGGCTTGGAATACCAGTAACCATATCTTGAGTAATCAGTTGATTAAGTGATCAAAAATTCAAATGTCCAAACCTCAAGTGCCACAACCAACTATCCTTGTGGTCGACAACAGTTTTCAAGCATTGAACTTCTGTCGAAATGATCATAGTCTTAAATGTCCTATTCTTCGACAATGGAGATTTTAAGACCAAATTGTTCTTTGTGTCGAACAATTTCAAAACTCCATCTTTCATGACAACTGAGAAATCTTTTTCGACTAGTTATCCAACACTTAGCAAGTTACATTTCATTCCAGGTACATAGAGCACATCTTTGATCATAGCTTTCCCTCCATTACTCATTTGAAAGACTATGTTGCCAGTACCTCCTGCTTGCAACGAACTATTATCAGCAAGTTTTACCTTGCTCTTCTTCGACTCGTCAAAATTTGCCAACTACTCCTTTTGACCAGTCATGTGGTTCGAGCAGCCTGAGTCGAGAAACCAGATATTGGATTCAACATGGTTATCTGCAACTGCAGCCATAACCATCATACCACCTTCAGAATCATTTGAATCTTGGTGTGCAAAGTTCGCTCCTTCGTCCTTGCCTTTCGATCCCTTGTCTTTTCTGTACCAACAATTCTTGGCCAAGTGTCCCCACTTTTCACAGTTATAACACTGCATACCTTTCTTATCTTCTTTGTCCTTTCGATAGTTTCCTCCTCCCCTTTTCGAGGATTCAGAAGATATATCTTCGACCTTATTCTTATGGGGATTCGACCAAGACTTCTTGCCATGAGTCTTATCAAACTTGCCTTTGAATTTGTTGGAACCACCATCTTTTTTCCATGATTGAGCTTGCAGTGCCTGTATCGAGTCCTGAACTCACTTCCTTTCAATAATCCTCATCTCATGCGCTTCCAACGAACCAACTAACTCTTCCACTTTAGTGGTTTCAAGATTGTTGGATTCTTGAATAGCTACGATAACATGATCAAAGTGAGAGGTCAACGTTCTCATTACCTTCTCAACTATTATCTTATCAGTAATGGTTTCACAATAATCCTTCATGAGATGGACGAGTTTCTAAATCTTCGACACATATTCTGCAACTTTTTCATCTTCTCCCATCGACAACAACTCATATTGTCGATGCAAGGTTTGTAATTTGACAACCTTGACTTTCTCATCTCCTTCGAAATACTTTACCAGAATATCCCATGCCTCCTTCGTTGTTTCAGCATGAGAGATTTTGTCGAAGCTAGAAGCATCGACAACCGTTTGAATACAATAAGAAGCCTTGCAATCTTTCTTCTTGACTTCGATGTGGGCTTTTTCTGTTCATCGGTTGCATTTGCGGCCAACGCAGGAACGCTGCCGGTAACCACTTCTAGGGTTTCATGGAAGCCAAATAAGGATTGCATCTGTTTTTTCCATCGGATCCAATTTTTGCCGTCAAGCATTGGAAGAGAATTCAGAATGCTCTTATCACTAGCCATCTTCGCAGCGGTTGATTTACTTGCCCTAGAAAAATAATCTCTGACGTGAAATTCTTGAAAACTTGATCAAGAACAATCACCGGAAGCTCTGATACCAATTTGTTAGTGCGTGAGACACTTTTAGTGAAGAGAGAAAGAGAGAATAATAAAAGAAATAAGGATTTGTATTATTCAAATGTATAAATAATAATACATACTATGACTATTTATATACAACCCTAATTGAGCTTGGACTAACACAACTTAAATTATATTAAATATTAAATATTAAATCTAATCAAATCAAATCAAATCAAATTTAATATTTCAACAAATTTAACTTTCACTAATGTATATCTAAAATGTATCATATCATATATTTTTCAATGAACGATATATCGTTGTATCAAATATGCATCACATCTAATACTCATACCGTGTATGTGTTTTGTCGTGTAAGTTCAAGCTAATTTGGTTGCACTCAATTTAACAACAAAAATTAGATCACACTTTCTTAACACTTAAAAATAAATTACATGTTAGTAGAAATCAATAAGACATACAATTAGTTGATAGACGAATTTCCCTCAACTAATATCAAGTCTGGTGAATAAAGTACACTTGAACATGAATCAATAAACTTTTCTAGAGTTTAATAAGGTCTATCATGTTGTTAGGATTTTAGATTTGGTAAAAACACATTAAAACTAAACAATTGAGCGTTGTGACCATTTTCTTTGACAATAACGCCACATATCGAAGATTGTAATGACTAAGAAACCACTCTTTAAAGGAAGTTACACACTGATATAGTCAACCATGGGGTGCCATGTAATTCAAAGTAGATGAGACACACGCATATTACTCATGCAAATAACTTAATGAAACATCATTTATATAGGCCACTATTCTATGACTAATATGATAATTTCCTCTATAAATGCTAGTGTTATTTAAAACATTTAATTAATCATACAAGTTATTTTACGTGTTTTATCAAGTTCTATCAAACCGATCTAATATGGAGAGAAATAGATCTCCAATTCACTACACTTTCAAGAATTATTACAAGAGATTACAAAAGAGTTAAAAGAAAATAATATCTCAAGTTTTCTCTAACAAAGCCTATTTTCTATCCAAGTATTTCTCAATCTCTTTAATTCTCTATATATGAATCATACAAAAGGTATTTAAAAGTGTTTCTCAATCTCTCTAGCTATCTAACTTTCATTACACATACCTTCCTAACTTCTAAATACATGCATGATATTGCATTGCATCCGCTCTCCTAGAAATAACTCTTAGCATTGCATTTCATTTTATAACATTCATTTTTGGTAATGAAAAAAACATTTTGTTACATCACATTCATACCTAATACATACAAATTTATCATTCCCAAATTATGGACGAATTTGCGCTAAGTCAAGAAAATCTGAAACACGAGGTCAGAAAATTGAAAGATAAAATAGATGATATTTTGATAACTTTACAATCTTTGGTGGACGAAAGAGAAAATGAAGAATCCTTGACTGCAAGTGTGGGGCATCAAAACTTCATTCCTCAGTCGCATGCTGAAATTCGCCTCCCATGCTGAAATTCGCCTCAGATTCTTGTTTTGCTAGCTCATGCTTAGTGCTTAGGAGGTCACCTAATAGCATGGGTGTTTGTTGCTTTGAAACTTGATTGGTT